ATCGGCCGGCGGCGGACAAAGTGGGACTCGGATGTTCCAGGACCGGAAGTAGCCCTCGAGCGAAACCAACATCCTTCATCACGTCTCGGCTGACGGCATCCATAGTGGCGGCGTCGGAGCTGAGTCCGTGTGAAATATCTTGGCCAACATGGTTCCTTCCTTCTTACTTGGTCTGAGGCAGCAGCCTCTGATTACCTGCTTTCTAGGCATGGCATCCACATATATGAGGCATCACGAGCGAGCGTTTGAGATTGCGTGGCATCGTTTCTGCGAGGCAATTGGTCTCTTTCTTTTGCAGAAAGGTAGCATGCAAGTTTGGTGCAATCTTGGGTCATTTTGTTCTCCATCGTGGGAACCTGCGTACGCCCGCTTTCACCCCCCCATGTAGTTAGGTAATAGTTACGGGAGCGCAACGGGAGCTTGACTCGGGGTTTGCGAGAAAGTTACAACAGAAGTGTTGGTACCTTTTTGCTTTTTTTCTAACCGGATTCCTGTTCGTACCTGAAAGACACGTGGAAGAGACGGCCATGTGTGAGTGGGCTTTCTACTTTTCGAAGCTTGTGTTGGAAATCCTGCATGTCTACAAGAGACGGAACGGTTCGTGTTAGCTTGGCGTGGCATGGCTGTTGTTTCTCAAGTTTGTCTCGTCCACGATCCTTGATTCTTCTTGGTCATGAAATGTATGAGATGCATAGCTTTGCGAGAGCGTTACCGATGGCAGCGCACATATGGCCAACGTGTTGTCTTTTTAACTTTTCTTAGGCCAATGGAAGCGAGGCAACTCGGAAACGTGTTAGTAACAAGATTGTGCGTGATTCGGAACCAGGGGCCATACGTCTTGAGGTTGAGGTCAAGGCGTGACGTGACGTGACGGCAGTTGAGGGGAGGTCCCGGCAGCGGGCGTCCGTTTCTCGTATGTGTGCGCGTATGTGCATGTACATGTGCCTGAATCTGTCTCTTTTGGAAAATCTGGGGAGGTTTGTGATTACCCCATCTTCATGTTTGATTGACCCCGTCTCCCTCCTTCCCCCCTCCTCAGACGCACGCGCCGGAATACGCAACCGGCTGGGGGAGACGGGGGGAGGAGGCACGTATCGTGAGTTTGTGTTACGGGGAAGTGGAGCCGAATCACCTAATGGTAATGTCGGGGGGTGTCGAACTTGACGAAGGGGGTGTGTGTGTGAGTGAGCACGGGAGGGTTTCTCCACTGAGGGCATACGGGTATTACGTAAGTAGGACTTTTTGGGAGGACGGTGACGGGGTTTTCTTTTGCTTGGTGTCAAAGTCCTATTGTCCTTCCTGGCTGGAGTGTTTGGAGAGGCCAGGGAGACACCGGGGGAAGCGAGACTCCGTTGGGGCCGAAAGCAGACCCGCCGGGGAGACGGTTGATGGATCGGGATGGCCGGGAGGTGGGGATTGGAGGCTTCGGGGGGCCGTTTGGAGTTGGAGAGCTGTGATGATGGAGTGTTTGCCCGAAGGCGCCCGCGTCAAGGGGGTGTTCCGGGTGAGCGGCGAGGCGTGCGTGATGTTCCTTGGCTATGTGACGCAGTCTAGTTTTGAACCGTTCTGTTGGCTGGAATCGGGGCTTGCATATCTGTGTGATGAGGAATCTTGACGCTTTCTCTGGGCACCAGGCAGAGAACATTTGTCATCCGAAAGGTCTAGACCCTTGGATGACTGTGCTGATGATCCGAGCCAAGAGTCTTTTGCGAAATTTGGTTTCGTGGCCAAGATGAGGTTGATGTTGCTTTAGATTGTGAGGATATTCGGAATCTGCATTGTGACGTGTTGAATTTCTGGACGATGATTCAGGGGCCTGGGGTGTGTTTAGCTGAAATATTCGAGTTTTTGATCGTGAATTGCGGTTGTCCTTGGCTCCGTTAGGCAGCACAGAGACGGACAAGGCCATGCAGATGGTGTTCGGCAGAGGCTAAACATCGATACGAGTTGGCGAGGCCTTGACGTTTTTGCAGTCGAAGACATTTGTGTTATTTGGTTCCGAGACATCATGTATGCTCTCCAAACCGAGATGCTGACGCCGTCAACGAACTTGTATGTACTTCTTGCAAAATAAGGATCCAAGCCTGAAATCGTTGCAATCCCATGGTCGCAAATCACTATCACAACGACTTGTGTAGTACTATTGTAGAACTATCCATGACCTGCCAGACAGCACAGTTGCTGGCCATATATAGCTTACCAGCCATTCCGAGCAAATATCGTGTTATTGAGGAGTTATGTGAAAAGAAGATTCCGATTTGGCAAATTTCCTGTCGAAATCATAAAGCAAGTTGACCGCACATTTCTAATACCATACTGATATGTCGTATAACCTCTATCTTCCACTGCCCCTCTTACCGCATCTGTGAGCTCTTTCTCAAACTGAAGTTTCGTTATTATGCAGTACATTCCTCACGTGTAGCTTCAGTGGGATGAAGTCCTGCCTTCGTCTATGAGTAGCGGGTTGGGGGAAGGAGCGACTCAACGCACCTGCCCAAAACCAAACTGAGCAAGTGCTTCCTTCCTTCTTAGACAAATTCGGCGCAGTTCTTGCCAACCAAGCCTGATGAAGGGCCAAGTGGCCCAGAGGTATAACGTCCTAGATCGTTAGTTTGAACTTGGTATGAAACCCAATCGCTGGTTTCGTAGGGTCTGCGGTTCGAATCCGCACCCGAGCTTTTGCTTTTTAGACTTACGTATTTGTCTCATGGTCATTCATTGACAGGACCATAGCGGATCGAGTCTTTGGCGTCGCTAACTCAGGATCGCACTTCATCCTCCACCTCCAACTTCCAGTTTGCACTTCTTGTGGTCCGACTGGTGACAAATCACCTGCGTGAAAGCACATGATCTCATTCCCATTATCTTGAGGGCAAGCACATCATTCCACGCACCCAGCGAAGAAGATTGACACTGAGATAAAAGGGGGTTAGCAGTCAAAGTAGAAGCTGCATCTGCATTATCTCAAAACTGCCATAAGATCATTGTCTAAATGCACTTGCACCCACACCGCGAAATGACCGCGACATAGCGACCATCCCGCACACTTATCTTGGATCAAAAAGCCTAAAGGTGAAATTCTCTTTACAGTCGCACTTCGGGCATTCTTCTTGGCAAGCTGAATACGTCAAACCCGTCCGCAGTTGTCTCATTAATCGCTGAGGAGCATACTGGTTAGATTTCATCCGATGGAGTAGTAGTAAGTCTGTCACAAAGTTACAGCAAATCCAACTATCATGCTGGAAAAAGAACATTCAAAGTGGCTCCTACAAGCATCTTGGGGGTTGATTGTCTTCCGCGGGAGCCAACTCTGACCATCGGCACCCAGCACAGCCGATTGCAAGCCTCGTTGTTGTTGCCTATGATCGCAACGAATCACTCGCGCGATTGCGGATAGCTTCCAGAGTCGATGGAGATTGGTTGCGGATATCTTATTTACAACCGAAAGCGAATATCTCCGATATGGTATCGTCGGAATTTTGCCAATCAACTGTAACTTCTCTCAAGACATCGTTCGATCGTTTTGAAAGGCATATCAAATTCATCACATTGCGTACCAGATTAAAGCTTGACTGACACAAGCTTGTTCTTGGCAGCTACCCATCATGTCGTTGCTAACATCAGACTGAGCACATGTCACTGACTAATCCCGCTACTCTCCGGATGGAAGACGTCAGTCTAAAACGCCGGCCGCTTCCCCCGGTGGCGGTGCGGGGTGGCGACCTCTGCGGGGACTCTATGAACCCCTCTGCGCCCGCGTAACCATCAAATGACCCGGCGCGCCATCAACCTCATGCTTCAACCAGATAACTCCCGATAACATATTGTTTCTCCCCCTTTCCTTTTCGTCCTGGCGGCTACAAGAACAACGAGAAATGAAGATCGAGCGAACACTAGCGACGGAGAAGGACAGGCAGCCCATGGACAACTCGGCCTGCTGCACCTGCGCCAAGCTGCTGACCTCCATGCCCCGGTACCACCCCGCGACCGAGAAGCCGCTCCCCGATGACCGTGTCTTGGAATGCTGCGCGCGAATCATATGCGGCAGCTGCATCCACGTAACGCCTCCTCTCCATCGTGTTAGACCAAGGGATACTGACAACAACTCAAGGACAATCCTCGCTTCGCGTCCTACTGCCCCTACTGCCAGACCTCGTCCAACCCCGCCACCTCCGTCCTCCCGCCGAACCTCAAAGACCCGCCCGCATACACCTCCGTCGCCCGCAGCAACCTCCACGTCTCCGGGCCGTCGGTCCCGCCCCCGCCGTACACAGCGACAACCAACGTCCCCGTTGACGACGAGAAGGCCGGCTCGTCCGCCACGGCCACGCCGCCCGAGGACACCCTGCACTTCCTCAACCACGAGCACGACACCGTCGCCTCCCTGTCGCTGCGCTACGGCGTCCCCGCCGCCGTCCTCCGCCGCGCCAACAACATCACGAGCGACCACCTCCTGCAGGGCCGCAGGACGGTGCTGATCCCGGGCGAGTACTACGCCGCCGGCATCAGCCTGTCGCCGCGGCCGATCGAGGGCGAGGAGGAGGAGCTGCGCAAGAGCAAGATCCGCCGGTTCATGACCGGGTGCAAGGTTTCCGACTACGACGTTGCCGTGCTGTATCTCGAGCAGGCCGGGTATAACCTCGAGGAAGCCATGGAGGCGTTTGCTGCGGACGAGGCGTGGGAGAGGGACCACCCGGTGCAAGATGGGGGTCGACGTGGGAAGGATAAGAGTGCGCCCAAGAACCGGGGGCCGTTCTGGAGGGGGTCCGCGTGAGGCTGCGGGGATTGATTGATTCACACGAAATTGGCAGGCGTTGTTGGGGGATTGGTATTATTAGAACTCTTGTTCATTGCATCGTCATCATGTCCTGTACCACCCAACGGCTCTTTGGCCTGTATGAAACGCCGCTAACATATACCTTACGCTTTGTACAATACACGTAACAATTGATGTCTCCTTCCCAGAAATGGATAGTGATAACCACCACGTATAAGCCTCCTCAAAAGGCGGAACGTGTTCTAATGTCTGAAATCTTCCTCTCAATCTCCCGCACGGACCGGTCCAGCTCGCCGGCAATCATCAGCTTCTTGTCATTAGGCAGGAGTGTGTATCTCTCGCAGAGGTCGCCATCAATGACGCCCTTGACCGGTACGTAGTAACCGCGGTACATGAGGTGGTCTCTGCCTGCAAGTGGCGCGTCTTCGGTGCGCATATGCTGCTCGAGGTTCTGGAAGAAATCGACATCCTCGCGGGTGACGAAGGGAATGAAGACGCCAATGGTTCCGTTGATACCGCTCCAAAGGAGGACGTCCTGGCCACCAACGACGAGACTGGTCTTTGTGATACTTGTGGGCACGTCTTGGGTGTAAGAGTGGCTGAGAAGGTTGAGACGGTGAGGTGTGCCGTGGAGATAGTCCCTGGTGTTCAGCAGGTGCAAACCAGCCTGCTCCTCGTCGGCTTCTTGGCTCGCCTTCTCTGGACAACGAACGAGGAACATGTTGCCGAACTTGTCTCCTCCGGCGACCGACTCGTAGTCTACCATGGTTGTGCAGGTGACCCATCTCGCGATTGTGTCGTCGACGAATGGGATGAGCTTGTTGGTGGTGGGCTTGTAGACGACGTAGGTGACACCGTGCTGTACGTCGCCTACGACGATGCGGCTGCCTTGCGTGCTCAGAGACACAATCAATTGCGGCGCTACATCTGCTTGTGATTTTCTGAGCATCTGTCGTAGACCCAGGTCATATATCCTGAGGGTCTTGCCGACACCAGCGAGTAGTCTGCCCTGGAAGGCTAGTAGTGCCGTGGGAGGCTCCTCGACCTTGGTTTTGTGGATGAATTCCAGCTCATGGCCGTCTTCGCCGAAGCGGTATACGTGTATGTATCCTTCCGTGAACTGTCGCGGGTTGACAATCATGTCTTTTCCTGTGCCAACGATCAGGAAATTTTCATTGTCCTGGCTGGCAAAAGAGACAATGGCTGCGCTGACCGCTGCTTCATTGTTGTCGAGATCAACGGTCTGCAATACTCGTTGCTCTTCCGACAATGGATCAATGACACTAATGCAGGATGCCCAGCGACCTTTGCCCTTGGGATATCCAAACTCATCAGGCGGGAGAACAGTCGCGTCGCCGTTTACCACTCCAGGCTCCGCGATGAGCTTGGCCCTGAGATCGGGAGGCAGTGTGTTGTTGTCCGCCTCAATAGTGTAGAACATGGGGTGATCGGGATGCTTTAGAAGACGCCTTGGAGTATAGGTCAGGGGTATCGACTTTTGTGTGATGGTGTCTCCGAGGTTCTCGATGGCGAAAATCCTGATTCTTGTCAGCGGCGGGCCACGAAGTGAATATTCGAAAGATGCCAATGAAAGAAGAACCTTCAGTAGGAACAATTGGTAAAAAATGCGTAAGACCTCACTGCACTTTGGCGTAGGAATCCAATTCTCATCATGGTAAGGGAAAAAAGCGAAAGAGAAAGAAAAAGAATGCTTACCTCAAGGACTGGCCCTGAATGCCAACAACACCTTCCTCGCATTGCTCACTGCTGAAGTTCCATACCCATTCCAGGTCCACGTAGTTGAGGGGAGTGACCACGAAACCTCTAGTGATAGGGTCGGAGTACCCAAGCCATGGACGTGAGCTCAATCCTATCACACACGTTCGACCTTGAACGGTGACTTGGAAGAGTCGCACGGGCTTGGGGCCCAGGAACTTTTGCCGGGTATCTGTCAACTCTCCAGTAACCTCATCTAGCACCGTCCGCAGATAGACACCAGAGTGAAGTCCGATATGGAGGTACAGGGTTGAGCCGCCAGAAGAAGAGTCATCCATGGCAATAATAGCCAGGGATGAAGGAGGAGCAGTCAAGGCTTGCACCGATTTGCTCTCAAGGGTCGAATCGGGATCCAGAGACAAAACACGAACCGTGCTGTCGTCACAACCCACTGCAAGGAACGAGCTTCTCAGACGTCCTTCCGGAACCTCTCCCATGCTAAGGCAGGTGACGGTACCGAACATTTCTTTCTTCTCGTCGTATTCTGCCAAAGATCCATCGCCATCCATCTCAAAGTACACAATCTCACCGGAGCTCAGAGCCACAGCAACTTGGTGTTCGTTGGTCGTGGCAGCAACGATGGATCGATGCTGAGGGGCTGCCCACTCGTTGATCTGGCCGTGGCGGATGTGACGGATACCCTTGGGGTGGACCTGAATAAGACCGTCCTCGCCAAGCAGTTGCGCTGCCAGCGTGGGCACCGAGGTCAGGAATCCCGAGTCGCTAACCTCCTCGACGGTCTCGCCGATGCTTAACACAAGGGTTCCGTTCGTAAAGGACAGCACAATATAGGCATCGTACTGATCGCCACGGCTCAGCTTGAGTGTCCACACGGCTGAAGGAATACCGGGCAGCTCAGAGGCAACGATCTCATTTACCTCCAGACCGTGTTTCAACATCCTGAATGTGCTGCGAGCGCCGTTTCCACATGCTGTGTAAATTTGAGGCGCATCCTCGCCAGTCAGGTTTGCGACCTTGCAGTCGAGGAGGGGATTCATTGAGTCGATGCTCTCTACCAGAGCCAGGTTTTCAAGTGGCCTGGGGTAGAAGTACACTGCATCGTAACCAGCCTTGGGGTCGGCAGGGAAGTCGTCGCTCGAGAATTCCCTCTCTTCGTCATCGTCTCCAAGCTTCTCAAACTGGTAGAACTGGTGGTTGCCAAACTGACTAGCCGCATACAAGAAACCGCTCTTGAGAATACACAGACTAGACGACACCGGCACAGTATCAAAGTATTTGATCTTGAGCCTCTTAACCTCGCCGGTAGGATTGCCGTCTGCGTCCTCAACCATATCGATTACAGCTTTGAACAAATCACCGTCTTCCGTCTGAAGCAGGAAGAAGAAGGCTCCAGCACTGCCCTTGAGCTTGTGCATTACACCAGAAACGATGTGGCGTTTTCTTAAAGGATCTTCCGTAGCGCCACGTCTCCGTGGTATCGGTACGCGGAAGGCTTCTTGGTTTGAATGACGGTATGTGATGTTCTCCTCTCCGCACACCAAGACACCGCTAGGGCCATCTTGACCACCAGGAACTTGGAAGAGTAGAGATGCTGTTGGGTCGACAGGCTCGGACCACTTTCGGACAACATGGTTGAGTCCCAGGTCCAACTCATAGTACACCAGCTGAGTCTCGGCTTCGCGAGCGGCCTCTCCCGTGGGATCTTGGTCTGCCTCCGTGTACTCTATCTCCAGTGCAGCAAAGACGGGGTTCGCGTAACCAACATCGAGCGCAACCATGGACAACACCAAGACACCAGGCTTATGCGCCTCCAGGGGCGAGGAGATGGTGAGTTCGGCTTGAGCGTTTCGGTTCAGAACATAGACAAGTTTATTCTTTTCGACCGAGGCGATGAGGCAAGCTCTGCCCTTGGGATCGCAAGCGAGGTATTCTCCGGGAATCACGCGTCGTACTCCAGACTTTCCAAAGGTCTCTAGATGCAGCCGTTGGAATCGGTTCTGCGCGGGGATGTACTCGACGATTGTGATCCTTCCAGAGTCAGTCGCAAGAATGAGATAGTCTTTGACACGAGGTCAGCAAAGTTTCGATACGATCAAGTATCGCCAGCACTGAGCGACAATGGCTTCAGTGACGCGCGTCGCGACTGGCAAGCTTCTCGAATCACTAAGTGAAGCTTCAAATGGAACGAGGAACAAAACTTACCTTTGTTGCTTCCTGCCAGCCGGAAGGCGGCCATGGACCGAATGATGCCAAAAATATCGTGCGAAAGCAGCGTAATGACCTTGCCCTGGGACGGGTCGGGTCGGAGGAGCGTCAAGCGCGATCCAGACGCCGTGACGATGTTCTGCTCCTTCGTCCCGGAGAACTGACCCAACACCGCCAAAGTGACATTGGTTGGCGGCTGAAGGGTCAGGGAGTAAAGAAACATGTTCGAGGTCGTCGCCATGTTTGCAGGTGGGCGCAGAAAGCCTGCGCGGCCTCAAAGTTCGAGCTCGACTGGATGATGAGACACGACGCGGTGGTGTTTTGAAGTGAAGGTGGGCTAGGAGGCTGGAGAGCTCCAGTACAAAATTTCAGAAGCTCTAGGTTCCCACTTGGCAACTGCTCGAAACGAAGTTCGGTGGAGACCCACCTCCGGCGCCTAGTTGATCCGGGCCACCCAAAATTTCGGGTCAACCCACCGCGGGCACAGCTCTGGGACGCATACACTGGTCATAGCTATTGTCGACGCACGCCGCATCTCACAGTTCGGTATTGGCAAAGATGGAGCCGGCATTGCGACGAGCAGCCTCCAGCGTCTGCGGACAATGTTCCGCGACATTGAGGAGGCAATTGGTCTCCAACAGCGGTGTCAGAACCGTTTCCAGAATCGCACCAGCCCACTCGACGAGGGGTCTACATTCCACCGTCCCGAGGAAATCAAAGGCGAATAATGCGACGAGGCAATTCTCTTCAACGACCAAAGTCTCTAGCGAGGCAGCGGCTGCTAAGCCCGTGAGCACCGGGACGGCAACCCGGAAGCTTCGTTCGGACGATCTTTTCCACTCCTTCACGAATTCGCCCATTCCCGAGATCCGGCGTCGAGCGGCCTTCATGAGACAACATGCGTACTGCCCGCACCCAGACCACAGAGCAACTCGCGTACCCACGATTGCACCGCAGGGCGATGAGCACACACACCAGACTGGAAACCTTGCGCCGGCGCATGTTGACTTCGAATGCCCCGACTGTGGAGTTCCTGTTTACTGCAGCAAGGAGCACTGGATGGATAATTACGAGGCACACCTTGAGATCTGCGATACATTGAAGGAGATCAATGAGGATGACCATGATCTGCGGTCTGGCCGTGCTTTCCCAGAGTTCGTCATGGCCGACGACCAAATGCCGGAGGCCGTTGTCAACATGACCAACTGGGATACGTTCATGTACAGCCGAGAGTTTGAGGCTATCAACGACGAGCGTAGCATGAGGCAGGTCACGAAGATGCTTACGTACCCCATTACTATTGGCAGCATTCTGCATGAGCTTAGCCCGTACAGCGTAAAGCAGGGCGAAAGGCTCACAAGCGAGGGTTTGAAGAGTTTGAGTGGTAGGTCCTTCGTCGCGAAGCTTGTGATATCAAGAAGCTCATGAGTGAACAGCTTTGCGTTATACACTTCACCCCCCTCTTTCAGGAAAGGGCACAGATATGAAGGACCTTCGTCCTGAGGCGCCGCCTGTGAGAGTGTTCTGCTTGGGCGCTCGCGCCGAGTCGTCCCTTCCGAGAAACGTCTGGCTTCAGCTGGCGCATCTGTTCCCCGAGAGCAAGATTCACCTCATTTTCATCGGCCCTGAAAGTATGGCGAACAGGGATGACGAATTCCCGCTGCCCCCCAGAACACCTGAGAACCCTTTCGGCATGGTGATTGAAGACCGGATATCTCACAAGCTGAAGATCAGCACTATTGTGGACTACTATCATACGATCCACAAGACGGGATACTTTGCGCCATATGACCCATACTTTGACTGCTTCTGCCTTTTCCACCCCGGCCTGGGTCACCCGGCGAGCAGCCACGAATGGTCCGAGACTCTGCCGATGCTTCTTGAGACGAAGCTTCCCATCATTGCCACGGGATACACCCAGTTCGACATGGAGAGAGACATTGAGTGGGTTCGTAAGACTGCCGCTGGCGAGTTCGATATTCTTTTGGAGCCCGGCGAGAACCGTTTCCGCAGTCTGAGGTGGGATCTCAACGACCTCGACCCTCAGGACGTCAGCTGCGGAAACTGGGGAGTCTGGGCATTCCGTGGAAAGAGGTATGTTGTACAACGGCATGGTCTTGAACGTTAGTACTGACTCAAACAGGTATGAAACGGCGACCAAGGATCTCTGAGTGGCCTGGAGGATACTGGTAATGATTCTAGGCCGTGCATAGAGAGGCGTTGTAAATAAGTGTACTATACTGCTCACGACACGTGCATTGTACAACAGGAGACGGGGAGAAAAGGAGGGGAAAAAACCAAGCCGACTCTACTGCATTCCACACGCTTTCTTGACCCTGTGAAATTATGAGTCTAGACGTTGCTGTTTGAGTAGCATCCAGAGGTACCATGAACGCATCGATGAGAGGCAGCAAATTTGCCGTCAACTTTTCCCATGTCGCAAGGTAATAATCGCTTCTAGAAGAATTCTGTCTTGTGCCTGTTAGACAAACCGGTGCCAGCGGCGTTCCTTTGCAGACGCAGCTTCCTCAGCTACTGTTAGCTTAGGTAGGTAGGTTGCCTTATGTAAGGTCCGGGCGCCGTCCTGCAGCGCACGGGGTCACAGCTGCGGGAGGTTGAGCCGCTTTGCACCTGCAACGGCAGACCAGCATTCCCTGTAATTAACCTGGGAGCCGGGGGCAGGTCCCCAGTCCCGTCGTCACTTCACCTTAATCCGTCACAGCACAGATCAGCGTCGTCCGAAATCTAGCTGGCTGCAAGTCAAAGTCGACGACAACCCCTCCTCGTCAACTCCTCTGTGCTGATCGCGTGCGCCCGGTCGCCCTTGATACCAAGTCATACCATGAGACTGCGGCTTTACAGACGTTAGACGGCCATGACAGCTGTCGCTACTCCTCGCGCACCCACGCCGCGCCCGAAAGCCCCCGCAACAGTCAGTTTCGCGAACGACACCACCTCCTTTGCCCCGACACCCTCGACCCCCGCTACCGAACGTCTCCGTCCGCAGTTGCAGAGCAATCCTTCCGCTCGCCGATCAATTCGCGCAGCCCCTACCGACTTTCTCTCCGACAGGGCCACTGCCGCCTTCATCCGTCGTGTCCTATGTTCCCAACAGCTCTCCGATAAGGAGAGAACCACCCCGCCCCCGATTGAGGAGCTGCTGCCGCCCCTGACAAGTCGAAACGACGTCGACCTTCAGCTATACGCCCTGATTGCTGTCATTTTGAGGGAATACGTACAGGCCTGGTACAGCAAGATCACACCAGATGAGGCCTTTGTCGACGAGATTGTCCAGATCATAGCCCATTGTACCAGAGCTCTGGAACAACGGCTACGGAAGGTCGATCTAGAAAGCCTGCTCTTCGACGAGCTTCCCGACTTGCTGGACAAACATATCGTCGGTAAGCTTGCTCTTTGTTCGCTCGTTTCCACATGAACTAACACCACCTTTCAGCCTATCGCGCAGCGCATGACCCCGTATGTAGGCCTCCAACGGAGATAGACCCTCGAGAAGTTTACCACGCACTTTGTCCAGTGGCGCCCTTGTCACCAATACCACGGCCAGACCAACCAGAGACCGTTGCGAAGCAGCAAGAGAACGAGGCAATCTACCGCCAATTGTTGGTACAAGGCGTTTTGGCCGTACTGCTGCCAACCGAAGACCTCGAAAACGACTGCCTAACCTCCTTGGTCGGTCAAATCTTCTCTGAGCTCATCATTGGCAATGTCTTGGCCAATCGGCTCTCTCAACCATGGCTTATTTACGAATGCCTGATTATTCTCACGAGAGTCCTTGAACGGAAATCCGAACCCCTTGAGGAAGATGTTGCAGAGGCGGTGCAGGCCGGGTCAGCGGCTCCTCTACCTAGACCGGCTCGCCGCAGCTGGTCAATCCAAGGGGTGTTCTGGTCTTTCGTACACTGGTGTTTTCTGTCATTTGCAATGATACGCCTGCTTGTCAGCACTCTCGCCATGTCTTCATCCTTGCCTCCAAGAGCAGATGTTGCCTACGATGAGAAACACGAGTTGACGGGTCAGTTATCAGATTCAAAGACACCTGATGCGCTCACGGGCTTGGACGAAGCACAGCCAGTGAAGACTCCCATCTTCGCCTTCAAGCTGTGGACCTGCATATCTGACCTGATCGAATTGGACGCCCGCATGCCTTGGTTGAGCGGAACGCTCTCGATGCTTCAGCTCGGAGCTATGAAAGGTCCAGGCCGGGTCGCCGCCCTAAACGGACCCATGGACAGGTAGGCATCCATCATCTTCCTCCTCCCTCCCTTTCCAGACGAACTCACGTCACACCGCATGAGCTTCAAGTCACTTGACCTGGCTTCGCTCCAGTGAGCACACGGAAACGCTCAGTCGAACAAGTGCAAGATGAGAGCTGCTTCAGTAATTGCCTAGTGGGCTGCTGAGAAGGCACATTCGGCGATGGACTTGATACAAGCTGTGACGACACGGTTCGGGGTGCGCGCAGTGAAGGGGTCGAGTCCTTTGGAATGCTGCGCGAAAAAAGCCGAAATATGCTGTGCGACACCCCCCACCCGGCCCATTCTGCGACCCAACCCAGACTTGACCTCCTACCCCGATTTCTCGAGACTACGGTCGCACTTGCAGGACCTCATGGGCGCCAGCCAATCGCAGAGGGAATCGACGTTGCTCGCCTCCGATTTGCTTGATAGGTTGTCGCGGGGCTGCGCTTCCATCCACCAGGAAGCCTCATTTACGCGCCCAGCTCCAACAACGAGCACCGACTTACAAGGGTCTGGTCACCACCGTCATCTCCTTCATCCACGCACACCTACGGAGACCCGGCACTCAGTCACTCAACCGTCACGCCCTTCGCTTCCCGTGGCCCCACCGCATCCGCCTGCCAGAAACTCCGTCAGAAGTCGGTACACGGGTTGGCATAATTCTTGCTGCTGGTTAAGGGGCCGCCTTCACTAGCAGTATCATCATGGGGCTCCCCACGGGCTTCGTCAATGGCCGCCTGTTAGTGCACCTCGTTTGCTGAAGCGGCACGCAGCCACTGACTCGATCCGTCCCGTGAGGCAGGCTAGCAGCTTGCTCCCTTTCAGCGGCTAGCTGTCTATCAACCGTCATCCGATTCGACAGTTGGCGACATGACGGCTGGCCCAATATGGAAAGACGAGATACGTCTCGTTGACAGCCCGAATCTTCGTTCTTGCGTGGCTTGCTACAGAGCCCTGGTTCTGGGGCCCGAAAGAATTGGACGTCACACCCTCCGACGCATGGAAAGCACACACAATTACGGGGAGAGACGGTAGCCTTGCCCGGGGGGCATCAGCAACCATTTACGGATCTTGGACGGACAGGGGAAATATTCTGCCTGCCTTGCGACACAGACGCAACCTTCGCCTCCAGCGTACCAAGCTTTTCACTTGTATCCCCTCTTTTGGCGCATGCTGCTCTACATGCGCGCGGCCCTTCCAACACTCGCTCGTCGTCAGCCGTTTAATCCCTGTTGAATTCGTGTTCCCTTCCCTCAGTTGTTTCCATTCATTTCCAATGTCTTGCGCCTCACATTCTCGTTCGATTCCCCTCCCGCAGATCCTCTCACTTCACACACATTGACCCTGTAGCCCCCACGCATGAACTGCGACTGTCCGAGTCGGAAGCAAAGCCGGGACTGACATGAGAGCGCTTGCCGCGTCGCGCGCGAATTATAGGCTCATCTCGCATACCATACACCAACGGGTTCTCGACGCCGCGTACCTGCCCACCCTCCTTCGGTCCATCCGCGCCGCCCTCTTTCCCAACAACGCTCCCGGCGTCTCGACCTTGGTGGCCCCCTCCTCCGATCAGGAGCTGCGTGCCCTGCGCCGCAGGTGCGCTAGCGCGGTTCTAGCCAGAATCCCGCCGTGGCTGGCTAGGCTCTACCTGGGCGGGCGAGGCCTTGGCCTCCGGTGGCGGTCCGGTCCGGACTCTAGAGCAACAGGAGCAGCAGCAGAAGCTGGGGCTAACGGGGATGACACCGCCGCGGCCGGTGGTCCTGGTTCTGGTCCTGGCAGCAGCAGGGATGCCAACGTCGAGGCGGTCGCCACCGGCACTAGCGACTGCGATAGTTCAGGTGACGAGAACGGCACAAAGTCACAGCCTCCTGAAGACGATGAGGATCAGCAGCAGATGCTGTCCGAGATTGAGGAGGGCATCCTCGACGTCTTCTCGGACGAATACTGCAACAAGCACTTTGTGTATGGCATGTTGGAGTTGATCCTGGTGAGACTGATGCCCGAGCTGGCGGAGAAGGGGGTGGTTGAGCTGTGGGAGGAACGATTGAGCCTATGAGCTTCGTGTGCTGCCATGCATTTTTTTTTGGTGCTTCGCCTTGATCCCCGTTTAGTCTAGATACCCTTCTGCCAATATGATGAAGTGTTTTGATTTCATGATGTTCGCAATGTTCAACGATGTTCACGATCATGACCGCCACATGTTACACAGAATGCCACTTCAAGTCTCACATCACACCGTTTACATGCCATATTGCTTTTCCAGTGTATATCGGTTTCCAGAAGCGAATCTGAGTTACACACACAAGACAATATCACGGAAGCTGGGCGAGGATTATCCCCATTGCAACCCCAACGCTCGCTCGTATACATCACGATAGTCTTGTCCTTGCACTGGTTGGGTTGTGAATCTTCCCAAACGTCATGGTCATCTCTTTGTCAACGCATTCATCGAGGGAGAAACGATGTTTTTTGTAATTTCTGTAGACCAGTCGTAGAGGGGACGAAAAAAAAAGGGGCTAATCCCTAGAAATAAATGCAAAAGGGGCCGCCCGTTTTTTTTCTTGTCTTTCGGATTTCGCGCATACTCTGGCCGGGGTAACGCGAGTCTTCTTTGGGTTGGCTGCTTTGGTTGTTGCTTTCGTAGCCAAGGAGGCCTCAGTTTCCTGACCTCAGACTCGGGAGGTGGAGTGCCTTTCCACCTCTCCGTCGTCTCCCCATCATCCTCTGGCCTCCCTTGCTCTGTACGGGTCTCCTGCCATTTGTTTTCTCGGTTTCCCTCTCCTGTCAGAAAATCGTTCAGATATCGTCCGATTGTCCGATTATGTGATGTCCATAGATGATGTCCGTTGATGATGAAGTGATGATCCCTTGAGGGCTCCCATGTTCCCTTCTCCCAATGCCTGGCTACCCCAGCCAATCTCCCTGACCTAATCCCAAACCCCCTTGTCTCGCAATGCAGCTGCGTCTGAGGAAACCCGGGAAATAATACAGTGGCGAGTTCGTTTGCGAATCGTCGATATAGCGAAGGAAAGAAAACAAGGAAAGGGGCAGATAACAGAGCGCTTGGAAACGGTGTGCCGAGTGACGGGGTAAAAAAAAAAAGAGAGATAGATACTGAAATAAACCAAGAACAAGTATTTGCAAAGGTCGCGCAAGGTGGGAATTTTCGGTGTTCGCGTGAGCGGCAAGGTCTTTTCCTTGATGAGCGGCGGATAAGGATGCGAAATTGGGGTATATAGAATATGTTGAAGTTTGGAGTGAATGGTTCTCCCATGACCTCGTCTTTTGCTAATCTTGTCCCCTGGCTCTGTAATGATAAGGTATATTGTGTCCATATTTTGATGTCGTGAGACGGGGGGCCGGGGATGGAAGACGCTCAAGATGTCGATCGTGGGAGTGAAGTGGCTGTCGCGAGACATTGACCGTGTAGGTAAAGCCGATGATGTTTTCGAAACCGTAACCCGATCCCGGCGAGTGTGAGCCGTTCTTTGCAGAACCCTCGCCGGGTCTAGGGGTTTGTGGGACCATGATGATGGTCGCTGTTCTGTTGTTACGCACGCGTTGATCGCGTGGCTTCGTCCCTGTACCTTACCCCGTCCATGCCCAGGCCCAAAACAAAAGCAAGACATAACGCCTGAGCAAACGATGGAGTGCTCGCTGGGAAGAAAAGATCGCAGGCCTTTACTGGGTCAAGACCGCCTCGGGCTTGACTTCAAAAGACATGTGGTTCGGGTGATGGGTAAGAGTTTCAGTGTCGCCCTCAGGAATCCGATCCAGGCCGCCCACCGAAGATTTGGCAGCATGTTGCGGATTTACTCGAAGTTTCTCCGTCAGCTTGAGCAGGCCCTGGTAGTCCTTCTGGTCGACCAAACCGCTCGCAGCTGTGCTGGAGAAAAAGCTCAGCAACGTGTCGGCCGCTCTTCGGGCCTCCTCTTGCGTCGGGGATGTTGGAGACGAGCCTGCAGGCGTGGTCGCTGATCTGCCGGCCATGCTGCTGTTGCTGCTGCTGTGGTGCAGATGCGGAGACGATGTGATTGCGGTATCCAGAGCAAAGTGTGGTGCCGCCATCTCGTAGATCGGTGACTCGAGTGCAGAAGACGGGGCAGTCGATGCTGGGTGGTACTTCGGAGTCATGGGCTCAGTCGTTGCAGTCTGGTACATTGCTTCAACGTCAATGTTCGGGAACGTCTGACTTCTGGGCCTCTGGAAGTTTGAAGCGACTCCGTGCATCTGACGAGACGAATCAGGGGGCAAGAAAGCTCCAGCGTTGGGGTCAGGGGAGAAGGTAAAGGTTCCCGTTGGACTCAGGGCACTCCCAGAGAAGGATGAATTGGCCGCATCGGTCAAGGCACTGTTGAGAGACGTAGTGCTTTGAGAGTTGGAATGTTTGTATGCTGGACCGTCTCCGTAGCTGACAAAACCAAGACCGTGAACAACGTCTTCGTCGCTTCTGTCAGCGGACAGAGGGGACTGATGACCTGTTGGCGATGCTGGGGAAATACCAGATGCTCCTAAGGATGGAGAGCCAGAGATCTTGGCGTGGTTCGTGATGTTCGTTTCCGATGCCCTTCGCGAGAGCCTTCCTCCAGGGAGGATGTTTCTCTGTTTGAATCTTTCCAGCCACGTGGCGTTGATCGATTTCGTCTGGTTTGCTTCACCGCCGCCGTTGGTAGAGAAGTGCCTAGCCTGCTCCAGGATCTCTTCATCACCTGGAGTTAACCCTGCTTGGACCTGTTTCCTATACCAGGAGACGACGCCGCGATCAATGTCCGGATACTTGCCTTTGGCATGGCGTCTGCCGGCGGGGGATTGACTTCTGTCCGCCTCAGGATTCAGGTACTTTTCCTTGTTTCTGAGGACCTTGGATACAGTGCTATGGAGGATGTCAGTTTCGTATTCCACGTTTCCAGTCTTGGTAACAAGGCCTACCTGCGCTCAACCCCAAACATGGCACCAATATCAGTCTGTTTGACGTTGGGGTGTTCGGCCGCGTACTGG